TTCTAGTGGCCGATTGATAGCGTGACAATATAGCACGTGCATGCTATCTACGTAAGATTCAGGGTTTTCATGTACGGAGAGGCGCTCGAATGTGCCACATTTCTAGAAAAAAATGTGTGGAGAATAATAGAGAAGGCCTCTTTGCCAAGAAAGAGTGTAGGAACAAGGCTCAAAGGGACGCATTTCTAACTTAAGGGCAAGAGGCGAAAGACAGCTGAAAAAGCGATTGAGCGATTTCGAGAGAAAGGAGGAAACTTTTCCTCCAGTTTGGACGAAAATGCAACAAGCCTGGATTATTCCCAAGACGTATCAGCGAGAACAGTATCCCGCTTTCTAAATTTCTAAAGATACTATTGACTACAAGCGCGTAAAAAGGGTGTCCAACAATAGTGTAACTGTTTGGTCCGACGCCAAAAGTTTCTTAATAATATTCCAGGCTACTGCCGTGAAATCGACAACTTTTTATAAGTTGTTTACAACATATGTTAATTTGGCCTTGCGCCAAATGGTGACATCGGTTCTCATTCTTTACCCCAAATATACACCTTTCTGAATAAATCTAACACAAACTACTGTGCCATAAATGTGGGACTTGAGGTACAAAACATGAATCATATAAAACGAGGACACTACCTATCCTTAAAACTTCCAAAAAGCGTTCTATTCGACGCGTACACGGGTCACCGTACATTAATTCAGTTAAGATATTTATAAGTTTCTTTCAGCGAACAATCGTGTCACCATGATCAAAGTTTTAATAACTTGTCTTACATGTATCAAGGCGATATAAACCTTGGCTATTTCAATTAAGTATGAAAGTACCTTATCCTTTTCTTTCTTAATCCATTATATATACCAGAGAGGTCTAAGAAAAACCCCTGGATAGTATGGTGACCCGTTATGGTGACCCGTCCAATCGTGTCTCCACCGGTACAATATATTAGCGGCAAGATACACAGCCTGCGAAATAATGCGCTCAAAGCTTTCTTTCTACAGCCATAATTAAAACTAAATATCCTTCCGAAAGTTTTTTCTTTCTATTTACGGTGAATTAATATCGACTAAAGGCTTTTTAAAGTTCTGTAAGCTTAAGCTTATATCAAACCTCATACTAGGTCAGATCAGTGTCTCAGTCAAATCTTAATACAGACGTGCATAAACTAGCTTCATAAACTGCGCCGCTGGACTTCATGAAATTATATTTAAATACAATAATTACTCAGGCTTACCATATTTCGAGATGCAGCTCCTGAAAGCTATCAAGTAAGGCGAGGATCGCTTGAGCCTTTATAATTCACGTACGCATCCAGCAAGGTGAAAAACAAAAACGATGCCATCTGAAATCGGATTATCGGCTTTGACAAGCGACTCATTTCTCAACCAAAAACCCAATAAACAAACCAGCCATGAATAAGAGAACACTCTTGATAGCAGCTGTATTTCATTTTTTACATCCAGTGGAAAAAGACAGTTAAAAACATCACAAGTTGACTCAAAACTCTGTCAGCTTCAGCTGTCAAAGTAAACAACTTTCATGATGCTGCACAAATTTTACGCATGAACTCACCTGTCAAATTTTGACCAATCAGAACATAAACATTGGACGTGGAGCGTGACTAACACGTGACCATGGTTAGAAAGGGTCTTCCCCGCCTGTATTTTAAAAAAACTGGCTGAATTTTTGCGTCTGAGGTCAGTTTGAAATCAAAATCGTAATAGTGCGGGGCGATACTGACATGAACACAACATATTTGATATGAATTTTAAAAAAAGTAAACGTGAGCCTGCGGTCATTTGAAAACGAGTAAATTGTCAGCGGATATTTTCAAAAAATACTCGACCTTGATGGGTCGACACCTGAGCCCGCGATACGGTCAGGTGATACTGGTCAGCGGATACCATGTTTTGACAGCTGTCAATTGATGACAACATTGATGTGCCATCAGCTTTCTCCTGGGCTCCCAAAGTAGCTAGAAAGTGTGAAAGTAAACATTGGTATGCCTGTGGTGCGGACGGACGGGCAGCGGGCGGGCGGTGTACGGTCACGTGATTACCAAATTTTCTGGGATGGGTAGATTTACTTACCCATGGTGCTCCGCAGGCGCGCTTCGCGCGCCAGAGCTCCGCTATTAACCAGTTTGATTATGGTGCATTATAGAAGGAAGTACATCTTTAATTCTCTTGGCAATTACTTTTGATATTATCTTAGCGTCAGCATTGATAAGTGATATGGGCCTCCAATTTTCTATTAATGTACGATCTTTGCCTTTCTTTTCTAATATATAGATTTAGCCAGGGCTAAAATCGAAGCTCCCATTAATAAATTTATAATTTAAATCAAACAATAAACTTGTGATCCACAAATCAGTTAAGTTAAGGGCACATTCATGTGACTTTTGAGGGAAAGGCTAAGTTATTTCTTACATCGAGTTGATAGCCTTATATGTACACCCAAAAAATAGCAAACATCTTCGATCACATTCAAGAGCCATAATGGCTCTTGATCACAGTAGATTAGGCCTCGAAAACAAATTCTTGGAAAACAAATCAGGCCGAATTTTTTTGCGTTCGATAGGTTTACTTTACAAATTCTTGCCAGTGAAATCTGGGGGTGTGTAAACCAACCTTTTATACTCTTTATACACTACATCACATCTGAGGTGAAACAGTACTATTTATCATACAGACCTCGGACAGAATGCGGCATTTCACAATTTTTCAAGACAAATTGCACTTAGTCGATATTCAGGACGATCAATCGTGGGCTTTTAGCGAAACCGTTCAAAAAAATTGCAAAATCACCCATACGGCCAGCCGGTTCTCATTTCTAGTGCGAGCTGTCAGTGTGGCCGAGTGTTTGAATGAACTTTAATAGAGTTACGCTTCAACATAATAACGAATTTATTATTTTTATTTTTTGTTATTTAATGGTTTTAGTTATAACGATGTGTAATCTTATAAAGCGTTTGATACGCGCGACATTTTTGAGTACTCACTCCTGCAAGCGATGCTCATGAACGATGAAAACAAACGGCACGTACAAGCGATTAAAATTGCAAGGGAGACTACTAACAATCAATAAAAGAAATATAATTCGGTGAAACATTTACAGAGACAACAATTTTCATTGACGAAGACAGGTATTGAAGTGTCTCTAAAAATCCTGAGTCTTTAAGCTTAAGTTAATTATGTTTTACTTTAAGCCGGCCTCCCGGTGTTTGCTTTTTTCAAAGATGAACTCCTCGAAGCAAGAAAATCGCTCAAAGGTTTCTTTCTACAGCCATATTTATAACTAAATATTCTTCGGAACGTTTTCTTTCTATTTGCGTTGAGAAAATATATCTGAAGGTCTTTTAAAGTTCTGTAAGCTTATATCAAACCTGACACTAGGTCAGATCATCCACTCAAATCTTACAAACGTGCATAAACTTGCCGCATAAACTGTGCTCGACTTTATGAAATTAGATATGACAAAAACAAACATCAAATATAATAATTACTCAGGCTTACCATTCGAGATTCAGTTCCTGAAAGCTATCAAGGAAGGCCACAGCCCACAGTTGCTTGAGGCTTTTAGACCCTGTTACGCATTAAGCAAAGTGAAAAACGAAAACGATGCCATCCGAAATCGGATTACCGAATTTTGACAAGCGACGCATTTCTCAACCAAAAACTGAATAAACAAACCAGCGATGAATAATAGAAGACTCTTGATAGTAGCTGTATTTCATTTTGTACATCCAGTCGAAAAAGGCAGTTAAAAACATCACAAGTTGACACAAAATTCTGTCAGCTTCAGCTGTCTAAGTAAACAACTTTCAAGATGCTGCATAAATTTTCCGCATGAACTCACCTGTCAAATTTTGACCAATCAGAGCATAAAAATTGGACGTAGAGCGTGACCAACTCGTGACCAATTTTCGCGTCCGAGGACAGTTTGAAATCAAAATCTTAATAGTGCAGGGCCATAATGACATAAACACAACATATTTCATATGAATTATTGGAAAAAATAAACTTGAGCCTGCGATCATTTGAAACGGGCTGAAACTGGTTATTTGCCAGCGGATAACTTTAAAAAAATACTCGACCTCGATGGGTCGACACTTGAGCCCGCGGTACGGTCATGTGATACTGGTCAGCGGATACCCTGTTTTGACAGCTGTGAATTGATCACAACATTGATGAGCAATTAGTTTTCTCCTGGGCTCCTAAACTAGCTAGTAAGTGTGAGAGTAAACATTGGTTTCTCTGTGGTGTAGACGGACGGTTGTTCGGCGTACGGTCACGTGATTACCAAATTTTCTGGGATGGGTAGATTTCCTTAGCTATGGGGCTCCGCCCACGCGCGGCACGAAGCGCCGCGCGTGGAGCTCCGCTATTAAAGTGATTACAGCCTGCCTTTGGGAATTAGACATTTCTTCTTTATCAAAGGATTCATTGACGCATTCTTTGAAGGGTTCACTAATGAGATCCCAGCAGCTTTTGTAAAATTCAATGGAGAGACCATCATTTCCTGGAGATTTATTGTTTTTCAACGTTTCTATAATTGTCCTACATTCCTCGGTAGTAATTCGTCCTTCACACGATTGCCTTTGTTCTTCCGATAGTTTAGGAATATTTAACCTATTTAGAAATGCCTGTATGGAATCCGAAGCCTCTACAGAGTCATTAGTTTTGTATAGGTTTTCATAAAATGGTTTTTGTTCGGAGGGTATCCGATATGGGTCTGTAGTTATTGAACCACTTATTAACAATTTTCGGATGTGTTTTTTAACATGGTTTCTCTTTTCTAAATTTAAAAAGTATTTGGTACTCCTTTCACCATACTCATGCCAACCAGCTGTTGCCCGTATGACGATTCCTCTTACTTTTTCCTCATATAAAAGTTCTAATTTTTCTTTGATTTTATCTAAACGCAATCTGTTTGCGGCACTAGGGTCATTTTCAAACAGCCTGTTAGCATCTTCAAGTTCTTGTTGAATCCGCTGCTCTTTCTCTTATTTAAGTTTGGCTTTTTCTTTGGAGTAGCTAATAGCGTGCAATCTAATTGTATTTGATCCAGTTCCAAACGCATTGTTTGTTAGACAGATCAATTTCACCCTCTTGTTTAACTGTTCTAAGTAGTTTTCATCCTCTAAGAGCGAAACATTCATCTTCCATATACCAGGACCTTTTATTTCTCCAGTGTCTCCTAGAACTAAGGTTATTGCTGCATGATCTGTGCGTATTGCAGGCTGTATTTCAGTAGCGTTTATAAAATCACAGAGATTGTTAGAGAAAAGCCAAAAATCTAGACGACAGAGAACTGTTGGGGATTTTTGACTCCTCGTGCAACTTCTTGTTTGAGGGTTCTTGATTCTCCAAATATCAACTAAGTCCAGTTCGCTTTGTAAAGTTTCAAGGCTATTAATTGCTGCTCTTCTTGGAATCATATGACACCACCGTGTTTATCAAGACCTAGGATTTTAAGGACAATTGAAATCACCCCCTAATATAATGTTTTTCTATGTAATCTTCTATAAAGATGAAACAACAACAACACGATATTAATTTGAGGAGGACTCGGAAAAAAAAATCCGAGTCCCAGATGGGATTTGAACCCACGACCCTCCGTGATCTAGTCGGATGCTCTAACCACTTGAGCTACTGGAGACTCTGGCCAATTTGTAGCTCAAGTGGTTAGAGCATCCGACTAGATCACGGAGGGTCGTGGGTTCAAATCCCATCTGGGACTCGGATTTTTTTTCCGAGTCCTCCTCAAATTAATATCGTGAATTTTCTATAAAAAACTGAATTAGATCCTTATCTTTGTTCGGTGCATAGATATTTACTAGAACATATACTTTGTCATCGATTTGGATTTTTAGTATAATAAAACGACCCAAAAACGAGTTGTCGATAGAACTGAATAATTGGTATTGTTTCTGATCAATATTGCTGTACCACATGAATTAGGGCTTCCATATCAGAAAAGTATTTCGCCACCCCATTCATTTTTCCACTGCACCTCTGTCTCCTTCTTTGAATGCGTTTCTTGCAAAAATACAACATCAGCCTTCTGTTTACGGCACCATGTATAAATTGTACGTCGTTTGGTAAAGTTGCTAATGCCCCTTATGTTTAAAGAAACTCATCAAATTAACGGTTAAAGCGAAGTTTTAACCTTAAATGTGTGGTGCTTGGAGTGCAGAAGGAACCACGGACAACCCAACGTTGTATACTTCTGACGCTATTAATTAAGAAAGGACGTGAACTCTTACGTATAAAGCATATTATGGTATATTAACTACAAATAGGCATTGACACAAAAGACAAAATAAGCAAATAAAGACGAGACAAACATAAGCCAACATATATAATTACCAAATACAGATGCAAAGACATAATCCTCCCCCAGGAATGTGTGATTAAAGACTGCCGACTCTTTTCCCGTTTTGGATCAATTATCTATTAGGGCAACCGCCATTTATCTTAGTACTGAATACAACTGTTTTGGCTTTAGCTTTGCTTTCTTATTTACCAGTTAACGGATGTGTTTATGCTAATTACATAATTAAATAGGTGGTGAGAGAAAAAGAGAGAAAAAGAAGTTACGATAATTTATCGTAATTTAGCATATTAGCATATTAGGGAAAGTGAAAGTTATTTTAACGGGATATATTTACCGTTTATGAAAAGCTTATCTGGATATTTTTTTTACTAAAGTACGCTGTGTCACCTCTCTCTTTCGCATTCTGCAGTTTTTTGAATTGTGCTTTTCTTAATTCATAAACTTCTTTTGGCATGTCTTCGAAGACACTGTAAGTCTTGTCTTTTAACAACTTCCTCACCTAAATAGGATTTCTTCGCAGTCGCAGTAACTAGGAACTTTGCGATGATGAGGCACGATTTCTTACCTCTCTCTTCCCTACCCGGTGAACGCGTTGGAATTCAATTCTGTTCCGAGCGTTTTTGGATTTGTAGCTCTTGTTCCATAAAATTGTAGATGATCTCTTTCGTGTTCTCCGTGTTTTGACTACTGACTGTACTATTTTCTTCGTCATCTCGTGTACTGACCTCTTCTTGAATTCCAATAAACATTAAGTTCTCTCTTCTGCTGTAGTGATCTTGGTACTGAAAGAAGTTGCATCTTAAGATTGTCCACATCATGTCGCAAACCTTTCACATCTCGCTGTAGGTCACTAATATCCTGGTCGTTGTAATCAACGCTCTGCTCGTGGTCATTTACCTTTTTGACTGGTCTTCTTTGTCTTCTCCTTTAAGGCTTCTCCATCTTTTTTCAATAATTGCGAAGCACTCTTCTATATTGGCCACTGACTTGTTCAGATTCTCTAGAAGCAGTTCGATACTATCCAACTTGTTTAATTTGTTCAAAATTAGGTCGACTTTAGATCCTAAATTTTCGGCCATACTCAGCGCTTTCAAAATGTCGTCTTCGCTCTCGCTTTCTAACGCACAGTATGATTCTTTTCTCGTGTTTTCTTTTCTTCAGGGGAAGAAGCATTCGACGACCACGATTTTGGCCTATCTTTCGTTTGAGCGGCATTGCTAAAAGCCATCAATGATATAATTCTTGGCGGAGCACTAAAAATAGCGTCCTACTCCTTCGGCATTCCCAGGGGTGCGTGTTTGGTCTTTAGATCTTAACGAGCGACTCACGTACTTGATTTTTGAAATTATCAGTGATATTAAAGTTGTTTTAGATGTTTTGTTAAGGCACTTTACGCTTTAGCTGTGTAGTATATGTTTAAAATTGGTACGGCATGAGATTAGAGGTTGATGTAGCATTGAGGAAACTTGAAGGCCGATTGCTTGTGATAAACCTAGGGATAGCATAATCATTTTTTGTAGATAAAAAATCTGTCAGCCATAATACAATCGTGCCGGTAGCCGGGTATGTTAAGTAAATTATAACGTAGCCCTGTGGCAGACGTTCCCGTTTACTCTGTTGTTTCGCAAAGGAAATATAAAACGTCTGTACTCAAGCCAAAATGGGCGTGGAGTTGGCAGGGAAACACAGAGGCAAATGAGATTGCGAGGGCGCTCTCCGGGTGCCGGTCTTCCATTGGTCAATTCGGTTTTAAGATTTGTGCGCCAATTCGTCGCTCTCGGCATGTTGTCAGTCATTCTTTTTGACATTTTTCAAGGGCTAAAGAATACTGCATTCGTTTTTACATTTTTCAAGGGCTAAAGATGTAATTAGTCATATGTAATAACGCCAAAGAAAATTTCTTATGGGAGCCCGAGAAAATGAATGTCAAATTACACAAAATTACATCTTACACAAATTTTCAGAATTTTAACTGTGTTTTCACAATTCTTGTGAAATTTGACGTTCATTTCCTCGGACTCCCATGAGAAATTTTCTTTGGTGTTATTACTTAGCTCGGTTGGTCGCTGGTACTGGCGACCTCGGTAAAGATTCTCCCATACAGACCTCCGCTCGGTTAATAAGATGTTTATTACATGGCAAAACAAGAAAGAAAAGGAACAAAAACATAAATAATTTTATTTGTTTCCCTGCGCGGGCTCAAGCATTTAGCTGGCTTTCTTCTGTCACTGGTCTCCAGTCCTATCGGGACAAAAATAACTGTTCATAGTCCAGCTTTGTACAGACTTCGTCAATGAATGAAGACAAAACTTTTCACTCAGGCTCAATGAAAAAGCTTGTGGTTGAAACAACAATTTATGAAAAGTGGCCAAAAGTGTAACTGCATTGAAGTAATGACTGTCTGTGCCCTGATCGCTCAGCGATCAGTTCTCATTCAGCCTTGCGATCTCGCGATCTTCGACTGATCATCACAGAAAACGTTGATGTTAAATGTGCAGCCTAATTATATATTGTAACAACAGATTACTCAAGTATCCAAAAATATACATTCAGTTTTGTGATTTCTAACAGTTTACTATCAAGACCGCTTTAGATTGTTTTTTTTTTTCCCAATATTTTAGTTACATTTTGGTTACAATCTTACTATCCGCGCAGATGTTTTTAATCGTCTTATTAATTTTACCATTACTTTTTACAGGTAACGATACAAAGTATACCATTTTAGATAGTGTTAATGGTATGAAGTGTATTCAGTTTACCCATCCAAACACTGGTGAAAGGTATGCGCTAAAGGTGGAATATAGAACAGGGGTGGGCAGAGTAGTTTTTGAGGTGAGTTGACATTACAATCATATGCAGCGTATTAACGTACAGTTGAACCTCAATTAGGCGGCAACCGTTGCCGGAATACAAGTAAGTGGCCGCTTAATAGAGGTTGGCAGAAACATCACTTTATTTTGAGACAAACCACAGGCAGCCCAAGCTCAGTATGAGAGTTAAGTCAGCTTGCGTTATCATATTGCGTAATCCTCAAAATGGTCGTGATTATAAAGGATTTGTATGGAAATTCAGGTGAGCTTGGGCTAATTTATACTGGTTCACAATCGGTCATCCCCAGTATTTGCCTTCATTATATTATCAAAATATAGCCAAGCTAAGCTTATCAAGCGCTTGATGGCCGCTTAATAGAGGTGATGGGGAATGGTCAAAAAGTGCCCGCGGCCTTTTTTATGGAGTTACGAGGCTGCTTATAAAATTAATAGAGGTTTTGACAATACTTTTCCACAATTATTTCGCCGGCTACTTTGATTACTGGACGCTTAATAGAGGGGGGCCGCTTAACTGTTGGCCGCTTAATGAATTGAAGGTTCTACTGCACTTAGCTCTAGTATTATTAGAACCATTTATAATATATTGCATATATTGTGGGTGTATTTCACGAGCACAGAGCCTTTAAGTGTGCCCTTTCCCTTAGACCAGACAAACATGTCAGAGACCACTGGAAGTAAATCAAGAGAAAATAGAAACACATTGCTGGATAGAAACAAAATTCCAACCTAACCGCGGCGTTCCATTACTAAACGTTTTGACTGAAACTTTGATTACTTCTCGATCAGTCATGTAGGACTGGAAGCGAGAATGTTTGAAAAATGAATGGCAAGTTTCAGTCGGACCGGGCCGACTAGTCAAAGATGACCTACTTTTTTCCAGAACATTTCCACCTTCGCAAAGCGTTCCATTTTTATTTAGACCAAGATTTCCAGAAGGTTTTGCATAATGGAAACCGCTTTGAGACCAGGGTATTTAGTCAACGGTGCGAGGTTTTGTGAATGGTTGGCTGAGTTGGTAGCGTACCGAACTGCTGAGCGAGAGGTGACGGGTTCGAAACCTGAATAGACTGCCAACCGGAGTCTAAAAAAACGGCTAGATTGCAGAATACCCGGCCCACTAAATATCTGACTAAAAAAAACTGCTCCCGCAGTCCCCCAGTCGTCCGATTTGCAAAAGAAATTCTGACATCGACTGTGGGCGTGCGCGAGTGCGGGAGAACTAGTATACCTTGTTCTATAAGCACACTAGTTACTTGAAATCGACTGCGGGAGTATACGGAACAGTGGGAGCACTAGTTAGCGACCGCGCACAGGAGTGCTGGACTGCGGGAGCACTGTCTGGTATACCTCGGTCTATAAGCATACTAGCTACTTGAAATCGTTTGCGTGAGTACGGGACTGCAGGAGCACTAGTTGTATACCCACTTAATATTTTCTTTTTAGCGACTGTGGGATTGCTGGACTGTCGCAGGAGCACTTGTTTTACTCACTTAGATTTAAGTATTCGGCATAACACGACTGCGGGACTGCGGGAGGAGTTTTACAAGACATTTAGTGGGCCGGGTATTCTGCAATCGCTAAATAAACACTGGTGAGATCATGCTGACATAATTTAAAACTGAGACAGTGCAATAGTTCTAATAGTTCTTAAAATCAACAATAATACAAGAAAAGGTCTAGCTAAGTCAATGTAAAAAGTGAGTGCCGTCCTCAAGTAATAGAAAATTGTTGGCAATATTTGCTTCTCCAAACAGATATTTTACAGAAAACAGTCGTTGGGTGCCCCTGAAGAAAAGGTTACAGTCAAGCCAAGTCAAGCGTACCCCTCAAGATTCGATTAATGAATTTATTATTCGAAAGTTGAATCCGTTGGTAGTTGTAGATTTCACACTCATCTCTACATTCTTGCGTGCGTAATGAGCCTTGTATTCACACGCGACACTTACGCGAGGCAGTTAGGAATTTTCTACCGGCTCATTTTCCCTGAAATTGATGTAAATGTCTTCTAAGAAATTTCGTCCATTCAAAGATTTTCAATTTGACCAAATACAGAGAAGTTCCCGTAAAATGTCTAAAATATTTCACTGCTCATTACGCATGCAGTAATGCCGATTTGAATTTGACAATAGTTACGGGAACGACTATAAACGGATTCAAACTGAATCAATTCATAATAGAATTTTAGGGGTACGCTTGACCTGCCTTGACTGTAAGTAAAAAGTTAGTAAAGAGGTTTAAAAAAACAAATTGATCTAAACGGCCAAGACGTATCAATGCTCTGGTATTTATACACTGTGTTCAAGTATATTCGCCGGATGCATTTTAGTTTCGTGGAATTTGCTACTAACAGTTATGAGAATAAACGCCTCCTCGTGGGCTCCGAAAGTTATTAGATCATTCACGGTATTACTGTTTTACATAATAATTTTGTTTACAGAAGCATCAATGTGACGAAGACGGCAATGACCCAGAGGAGTTCCGGTTTAATCAGGAATGTTACCAACATGGTGGAGGACGTTTTTATGTATACAAACCAGTCAAGAACCAATCCTTGTGCGTTAGCAAAAACTGTGTTTCCCAGAAACTAACTCTTTATAAGTATAATATTACACAATATGAGACGGCACAAGACACCCCCACCTGCACAGGACAACAATTCGATCGTCGTTGCGCATTTAAACGTTTTTTTCTGTAAACCGCTGAATGATAATTGTGTTGTTAATAAACATGATGATAATTTGCATCTGACTAAATTGATAAAGTATATCGTGTAAATTTTATTACTCTTTGAATTTTCTATGAAATTGATATTTTTGGTCGCTAAGCTCGCCCAAAGGTTTCCTTTCAAGCAAAGACTAATATTTAAGGACATGAAAATCAA